ACGGCGCACGTGGCGCCCGTGGCCGACGGTTACGTGGTGAACTTCACGCCGACCGAGGTGGGCGAGTACCGGTTGAGCGTGACGCTGGGCGGCGAACCGGTGGGCCGCCCGTACCGGATGACGTGCACGCGGGGCAGCGACCCGGGCAAGGTGACGGCCCGGGGGCCCGGGCTGGCCGGCGGCCCGGTCAACCGGCCCGCCGAGTTCACCATCGACACGAAGCGCGCCGGCCAGGGCGGCCTGGGCGTGACGGTCGAGGGCCCGTGCGAGGCGGCCATCAATTGCCGGGACAACGGGGACGGCACGTGCTCGGTGGCCTACATGCCCGTCGAAGTCGGCCACTACGTCATCAACATCACGTTCGACGACCAACCGATTCCTGGGTCGCCGTTCAACGCGCTGGTCGGCGGCCGGGCGGCGGGCGACGCGCCGCGGCCGCCCAACAACGTCAAGGCGTCCGGCAACGGTCTGCAGGCCAACGGTCTGCAGGCCAACGGTAAACCCTGCTACCGCGCGCACGCCGCCGCCGTCGCGCTAGTGTGCCGAGAGTGTTGCCGTGCGTGTCCGCGCGTTCGCGGATTTTTGGTTTTATGGTTTTGACGATTTGCGACCGGTTTCCAAGACCTAACAGCTTATACTATATACCTACGCCAAGCCGACGAATAAACGTTAATCATTTTTTTAACACGTGTGTTATTATTAATATTATTATTATAATTATTTTATTATTTTTTTTTTGTTTTTTTTTTTTTGTTAATTATTATTGCCGTTTGTTAAGATTTGTTACTGTTTGTTTATCATATTAATATCGTCGCATACTGACTTTCCGTCGTGTCTAAATCGAAGACTTGAGATGAGCACGCAATCTCGAGCCCATCTCGTGTGTGTCACGGGTAGACTCGGAAAACGTCGGAAACGCAGCTCTATATTTTGTGTTTACTGCTGCTTACTAGTTGTTACCAACTGCCACCACATTAACCGCGATGCGATATATTACTTATGTCGTATTCCAGTGTGAAACGCACCCCTGAGCCGCGCATGTAATACGAAATGCAAATAATACAATTTTTTCAGCTTAGACTTTCCGGTATAGTTTTGATCTAATAAATTGTGTTATTTATTTATTTATTTTTTTTTTTTGTTTTGCCGTTTAATAATCCAAGTATTTTAATGGTTGATTTTGACGTTTTGTTTGATTTCGTAGTACTTAATCGTTTTTGATTGATTTTTGTTGAAACCGCGAGAATTAGTAAATTATTAATAATTGTTATTATTATTTTTTTTTTTTTTTAATTTGATTTAGGCGTTTTCTTGGGATCGCCGACAGACTTTTCTGTGGATTCGCGAGCCGTCGCCAAATACGGCCAAGGGGTTATTACGTGTACGGTGACTAATCCATCTGGCAGCCGGACCGAAACGTTCATAACGCCTCAAAGCAACGGAACATATAAAATCAGTTACACCCCGTTCGAAGAAGGTAATATCTTCGTCTTAACAACTTTGACCATACACAATAATATGTTTGTTGATATTCGTTTTCGACGTTACAGGGCCACACACCATTGACATTTATTACGATGGGGCGCCCATAGTTGGCTCACCGTTTTCCGTGAACGTGAAAAGAGGAACTGACGCCAGCAAGTGCAGAGCGTTCGGACCGGGTCTGACCAAAGGAGTAATCAACAAAGTCAACGCTTTTACCGTCGAAACAAAAGGTGATTCATGTAGGAAGTTTTTAATCAGAAGTCGTATCGTCTTTAAAATAACAATTTTAATTTAAATCGTTAACGTTTACTGTTACGCGACAGAGGTTGTCGCGTGGTATCGAAATTATGTAAAAATGTATTAAGTTTATATTAGAGTTGAAACACATTTATTCTAAGATATTTTGAAGAAATTAACCGATTCATAGGCTTTTTAAATTATATTAAGATTATTTGTTATTTACTAATTTGAAAGTAATACATGTTATTATTTCCAAAATATTATTTACATAAAATAGTTTAATTTGTAATTATCTAAGTTATTACCGTGTGATAACAATATTTTCAATAACTCAATTCTGTATTATCAAATCTGTATTTATTTTGATAATAAATTAGTAATTATCATACATACTATAGTGACAAACATTTAAGCAAATCGGTACTCGAAAATTTTTTGTTTTTGGAACCTTAAACGGTATAAATATATATTTATTATTTCGCATTTTATTTGTTGCCAGTATTATGTTATATAAAAATATGAGTAAAATAACAATCTGTGCTCATATAATGCAATTTATTGTTATTTAAATTATTATGAATGCATTTCTTTGTCTTTTTATTCGAATTTTATTTAACTATTATTATACTATTTAATTCTTATAATGTGTGTAGTTAAAATTTTACTATACAAATAATCTTCTATGTAATATTATGATTAACATTAAATTCAATTACATTAATTTTTAAAAATGTAATCAATAGAATAAAATGTTTGGGACTTGATCTAGTTGATCTCTATATCGATTTACCGGTATTACCGATACGAGAATACGCATCGTTACTGTATACAAATTGTTCGTAAAAAGCCTTTTAGAACTTTAGTACAATATTTTTATATTTTGAAGGTGCTGGTACTGGAAGCTTAGGTTTGGCCATCGAAGGACCGTCTGAGGCAAAAATGACTTGCAAAGACAATCGCGACGGTTCATGTTCGGTAGAATATACACCTACAGAATCTGGTGATTACGATGTGAGCATTCAGTTTGCTGAGAAACATATTCCTGGATCACCATTTAAGGTATTTTTCAAATTGTAACTATTATTTTATTATTCAAATAGTCGACTAGAAACATTGTTTGTTCCGTTTTGATATCCATTTAAACGGAGAAAGTCTTACATTAACAAAACCTCAATAATTTCGGTAGATATAAAACTATTTGACTATTAAATTGTGAATTGTTGTGTGTCAAATACATATATCAAAGACTATACTTTTTCGAGTTGACCTCAAGCAACTAGAATATTGTGCTGATTTCTTTGAGATTGTATCCAACGGCCAACGGTGTTTTCATTCAGACTGCGATAACTACTCAATTATACTTTAAAAATAAAAATCTACTGAAATAAAACGTAATTATACGTATTAGACGTATTATATAATAATAATATAATAATACAAGTATATTATGATTATAGCAATAGCAATATAACATCATTTTACTTTCGCACTGAGAGTTACCGCTGAATATCTTCATAATCTGATTATTTGCCCACCTTTAATTGTATGATGTCTATTTTATATCATTTTTTGTACACAATTTCGTTGTACTTATTTTCATCAAATCACTTTTTCTTAACAAATATCTAATAAATATCTATGTAAATTTAAATGCGTCAAGTATAAATTTTATCGTAGTTTCTACTAACAAATAACTGTACATTTGACTCCAACTTATGTTTTTAATTATAATAAACAAAATACTAAAACATGTTGTTATTGTTTTACCGACGAATTACAGGTTACAGTCGACCGTCCTGCATCTGTGAATGATATCAAGGTGACCGGACCAGGCATTAATCCGAAGTATTGTAGGGCCAACACGCCCATCACGTTCAAAGTGGACGCTACAAAATCTGCTAAAGGAAATTTAGATGTAAAAATGGTAACCGATAAAGGTAAAAATCAAACAGCTCGTTTATTTGTTAATTTCAAAATCATAATATATTATTACTTAAAACGGTCCTTAAGAATATAATATTTAATACGCTCACTAAAAGAAAAAATGACCAACTCTTTTTTCAGAGAGTTTCACCAATGGGTTGCCTCCTTCCCCTGAGATTTTATAAACATGTATTATATCATGTTATTTGATAGTACATCTTAACACCAATTGTTAATTTTCTTAAAAAAAATAAATAAATTTATCTTGTAATTCAGTGGATCACAAGAGTATTTATGAATTTTTTGATTTTTTTTTTTAACTTAAAAACGTGTATTAGAGTAAGTTACAGGATTTTAAAATTTGTATAAAATTAATTTTTTTACATAACCGTTTTATGCATATTATTTATTCAACAGGTCCGTTACAACAGAAACCGATTATTCGAGACAATGAAGACGGGACCTACGACGTAACTTACACACCTAATCCAGAAGGAGCTCTACTCACAGCCAACGTATTGTACAACGGACATCAAGTACCAGACAGGTGAATATGATAAAAATTATAATTTAATTTAATTACACCCTAACGTGTAATAGAGCGTGTATGGACTTAATATTATAAACATTTTGATATATCAATAAAATTATATTTTGAGCTTCACAATTACACAAGTTAAATAAAAAAAAAAAAGTAAATGTTACAATTTTCAGTTAACACTCAACATGTGAAGTGGATGGTGTTAAATTATAGTTTATGTTAATGTAAAAAATAATTTGAATACTTACGTCATAAAGCCATTTTATAATATACGTCCGTATCGTTTGTGTTTTTATTCAGCCCTTTCAAGCTTAGAGTTCGGCCTAAATTCGAATTGGATAAAATCAAGATCGAAGGCCCCGGGGTTTCTGACTCTCGAGGTGTTAAAGCTTCAGTTCCCACGTATTTCGTTGTGGACGCCACTGACGCGGGTTCTGGAAAACTGGACTTGAGAATTATGGTAAGTTATAAGGGGACGTAAATAAACGTAATATGTTCTTAAATAGATAATATATATGTATCGTAAAATGACGAGACCGTACATTATGCAGGGACCTGATGGTTTTCCTAGACCGGTAGATATCGAAAAGAAAGATAATTTGTACAAAATCAAGTATACTCCGGATGACTGTGGTCGGTACACGATTGATATGTTATATGACGGCAAACCGTTACCGCAATCGCCGATCCACGTACAGTCGTACTCCACTGGAAATGTAAGTTCATTGTTGCACGATCGCTGTAAAATTTTAACGCTGAACTGTTTACGCTTATATATAATATTATTGAATTACCTAATTATTAAGGCGCACGAGCATTGTCGTATATCACACGACGTTACAATGATGTTATACTACAGCTTACTAACGCATTTTCTATTCGAGTTAAGCATAGGCATTTTGGTGACTAGCTGAATTTTTTTTAAATATCGTTTAGCAACCATTATACATAGACGTGTGCAGTGTATTCAGCTGCATACTTTAAATCTTCGATTTATTTACAATTATTTTAATAATTTCTAATCGTAAATAAAATATATCGTTCCTGTAATTGATCAAAACGATATTTTAAAGTTAGTTATACACACGTGGGTGATCCACCATTGTCCGTTGAAGTTATTACACACGAAGTTAATGGCTAAACATTTTCAAGAGTTGTTCGTAATAATAATATACCTCCAAATTATAGGTATATGAAGAGCGAACTTGAATACTACTAAAAATATGTTCATAAAGCGTTTAATTTTTCGGTGTCGTTTGTTTTGGGGTGCAAGTATTTAAACGTAAAAAAAAAAGAGTTATTACAATAACCGAAGAAGAAATAAATTATAAAATAAAAACAGCGATTTTTGAGAACATTAACCGTTGATTTATTCGGTATGATTCCTGATCACCCGCAGACGATGGATACCGCGGACGAGTTACGGCGACGGAGAAGAAACGAACAATTTCACTTTTATAATGACCATCATTTGAACGATTATGAATTTTAGAAGCGCCAAAAAGTTTAATTGAAAGCCATCGCCGAACGAAACATTTCATTCGGAACTCGACACATACCATCGAATTACGCGTATTTTCTTCGATGTACTAATATAAGACACGTGTACTTAACTATGCTGTGCAACAGCAGTAGCCATAGCGTAGGTATTATATCGTGAACGATCTAAAGTATTATTTACGAATGGAACATACAAACTCAAACTTAATATTTCAGGTATAATATTACCTATCTACATCAATATAATATCATATTATTGTACACATTCACAACATGTGACGTACGATTTCGTTTACGCTTCGTTTCGCTTCGTTTGATTTGATTTGATTTGTTTTCATTAAACGTTTGTTGTAGGTATTTAGTTTTGTTTTTACTAACGTTTTGACATCGATTGTCGGCCGTAGCCGGAAGGAGCGTACCCGCAGACCGCCGCCGCTAACGGTATCGATAAATCACATTATTGTAATAATGTATAGCAAAAACAAATGTGCGATCGATATTTTCTTTATTATTCGTATGCAACCTGTATAGTATTTTTGACAGTTGAAGATTTTTTTCGAGAAAAAAATCAGTAATAACTATAGAAATCGCATTTAACACAATCCCCCCCCCCCCAAATACTAAACGCTTCGAGTTGTGTGTTGTCGATTGTAAACAATACGTTGAGTGTTGTGCATATTATAATGTAATATAATTAGAATTTTCATCAGTACTTCGAACTTTGAACTTCCTCGTATTCATCGTTCAATTGTATAATATAATAATTAAAATATTATGTTATGAAATTGATTGAAAATGACAGAGGTGATCGGTTAAACTAACTCCGAAAAAACATCTCCATTAAAATTGATATGTTTTTTATATTAATAAGAATATTATATAAAATATAATAAAACTTATTAAAATTACCGCCACTTTATTTTTATTATTAAATAGTAACCTCTCAAATATAGTCTTTTAAAGAACTTTTTTGCTATTAAAAATATGAAAATTCATGAACTTTTAGACTCTAGTTATAAAATATTATTCCATAACATTAATTGAGATTATTTTAAAATTTTCATTGGTAATTATTAACTATAGATTAGTATACTGAGATAATTTATTGACTACTTCTTCTAAAATTACTTTAAGTCTTACCATTTTTTTTTTTTTTTAATGTTTTTATATTGCTAAATAGCTACACACGATAATCTCTAATAAGTGCATTGTTAAACTTGAATGTACGAATTTTCAATCGAGATATTTATTTAACCGGAGTTTTTTATTTGGAGTTATTTTCACTGTGAATAAAATACATATTAATATATTATGACCACGATTTCGTCGTAGTTTTCATTTGATTTTTATTTGTTTTTTTCCGTGTAACCGTCCGAAGGCGGACAATTGTCGTATCATGGGGAACATAGAGAACCGAATACTGACGGGTAAAAACCACAGCATCATCGTGAACGCCAGGAACTGCGGCGACGGGAACGTGACATGCCGAATAAGACCGGTGGACGGGCAGTAAGTCCGAATCATTCCATCAATATGTACAAACACGATAATAATAATCAAGGCTCGAAACTTCAAGTACTAAAATATATGTTTACGTATGGAGTAAAAATCAGAATAATTCGCAAAAATATACATCATATTTTTTTTAATTAAAAATATAAATGAATTGTTAAATCAAAAATAACCCACCTCAAGTTTTTATCAAAATTGACTTCGTTGCTCTTTTTTTTGTATACGTATAAGACGACATTTTATGAATGAAACGGACCTATATCCATATTTGGACCCATATTTTTGAATGAATTTTTCAAAGGACTCATCTCAAAAATCTTTATCGATCGTTTTCTCAATCAAATTTTTCTTCATGAATATTATTTTATATGGGTTTAACGTTACATAATAATCTGTACTTTTAGAAAGCAAATTATTAAAATTGGACAATTTTTTTCGACAGGAAAATTCTAAGTTCACAATTTAACTGGAGAAAATTAAAACAATTGAAACTTGAAACTTAAATATTTATTAAAAAAAAAAAAAAAATATATCAATATAAAAAAATAAAAATTAACTATAAATAAACAAATTTTAAAATGGAATATAGAATAAAAAGTGTATTTAATATTTATGTATAGTCACTTATTTGTCTTAATTTTTTTTTTTTTTTTATGTATATCTGTCTACGTAAAACTTTATTTTAACCGTGTTCCTGTAAAAATCATTTATTTAAAATATAAACCATCTAAAATAAAATAAGTACACAGCCAACTGATAAAAATTAAATAAATTATCGTAAAGTTCTAGAATTATAGCTTATAAATATTTAAATACAAAACTAAACAGAAAGACTGTTTAATATACGATCACTCGCAATCACTATTAAAATGTATAAGTTTTCTACAGAATAAGGGTTTTTATTATGTAGGTACACGCATGACTGCAGCGATTGCAATAAACCATATAACTTTTAATAGATTCATTTTTCCAAAATATACAAAAATAATATTTTAGTTATTTTATAATTTGTATTCACTCGCTCGTTAATAATACATTTTTCTTATAATTTTTTAATTATGTGTTTTTAAACCTGAAATATGGAATTTTTCGCACAAAAATAATAAAATAGGTATATGAAATTAATCGATTCAAATTTTTTAATCGAGTTGTATATTAAACCGGAATGTTAATACACACTTTTCAAAAAAATATACTGAAGTTCCGAGCCTTAATAATAATAAAAACAATAAAATTAGTTATTGTTATCGTGTCGGTGTATAATATTATATGGTTCTCATGTTCAATATTATACAAACAACATAGGAATTTATGCACCTAACACCATGAACTCAACATTATATAGCATTTATAGTGTGTGGTTGCGAAATATTTTGCAAAATATTTAAGTGAAGTCGTGTGTATGCACTTCTGTGTCATTTCAGTTACTTTGTAAACACAGAAGTTGTACCGAAAAATGATGGCACGTACGTTGTCAACTATTCGATCAAAGAGCCTGGGGACTACACGTTGACGATGAAGTACGGCGGTCAGCCGGTCAAGGACGGGTTTTACAAATTAACGGTAACGCCATGAACAAACGAAAAATGTATATTATAAAAAGAAAAAATTAATAATAATCGTATAATAATATTGTTCATTATTATATCGTGCAAAATATATATTATAACGTAGTAGGAGAGTCGACGATGATATTGGATCACTTCGTGTGGAGAGAGCTGTATTATAATATGATTGTGACGATGATAATAATATTGTTGTTTTCATTATTAGAGTTAAATCAGGCACGTGTACAGGGGGGTTTAGGGGTTAACTATACCCCCCACGAAATTGTTTTCTGTATACGCGCCTGCATTAAGTTATAGCTTTTTCATATTGCTTGGGCATTATAATGTTACATTTAAGTTAGTATAACGGAGCATGATGGTGTTGAAAATATATACATATTAATATAATATTATTATTACTTTTTATTCTTTAATTATTATTATAACTATACTATATCATTATTAATAACGGGAACACGCAGTACACTATACATTTGTTACAATAATAATATTATTAATATTGATTTATATGCATGTATAATTTATATATAATATTTTTTTTAATCGTAATAGATATCATCGTAGTCTGGTGTAGGTAAAATTATTGATAATCCACACGACATTGATGTACGATATAATAATATTATTAAATAGAGTTAATAAAGTCTAGTCATTTATAATATGTATAAACCGCATATATATATTTTTTTTTTATTGAACGCCACGCACGAACGTAGTTATTTTTCTTTGATAAAACTGCAGCGTGTAAATATTTTGTTTTTTGAAATTGTTTCCATAAAAAAATTGTTTTTGAAGACTACTGACAAATTGACACTCTTCAAAAAAAAAAAAAAAAACAATATGATAAACTGTTTAAAAAATATGTG